AAAAAAAAAAAAAAAAAAAACCCCAGATATTTATCACTTTTATTGCATTTGCCATTTCTGAACAATGCAAAGTAGAGGCAAATATGACACTTCATAAAAAGTGTTGATTTCCCCATTTCTTTCCCCAAGACCCAGCCCTCCCTCAAATATTCCCTCCCATCCCTTACAGAACTCTGTCCTGAATAAAACACTTAAATACATCATAAATAGTAAATTATGAAAAAAATAGCAAGAATTCTTTCTTTCTTGTAAAAAAAAGAACATGGCAGCAAAGACAGGCAGCCCAAAACTGGCTGGGGGTGTCTAATATAGAGAGTTATTTGGGGTACAGGCTAACCTCCTATCAAGGTAGGGTAGGGTAGAGAAGGAATAGCATGGGAATTGAACGATCTGCTTGAGACATCAGGCCCCCTTCTTCCCCTGACAAAAGTGGAAGGATCAGAAAGAGGACAGAAACTCTTTGAGATAGGGAAGAGAGCGTTTGTAGCCCCCATTTCCAACTTCTCTGCAGAACGACAGGGGGCAGGACATGCAGCACAGCAATTACCTCACCGAGGCAAGAATCTGCTGGCTGACCATGAGTTTCAGTAAATATTCTCTAGCCTCATAAATAAGGTCTGCCTGTTAAACATACACAGGTGTCCCCCTCTCTACCTTAGCTCCATAAACAGCAGAACTGTTGGAAAAGATGGGAAGAGCAAAAAAATCTCCTTTGGAGAATGATCTAAAATTTATTTCGTAAGTCTTCATATTAGAAAACAATCAGAATACATTTCAAATTGCAAAACAGTAATAATCATTACAGCTTGGCAGTGAGTAGGGTCCAGCCTATGAAGGGCTCCGATCTCTCAGCCACATGACTACCCCAGTTTTAACAAAAGGGGTAATGATTACCCCATATCTCACGCTCTCTGTTCCTTCAGCCTTTAAGAAATTCATCAAGAGAGGAGAAGTTATAGAGGAGCTGCTCCTGGTAACCAATACACTTCTCTGCAAACACTAGGTCTCTTCTGAGGGAAAGCTATAAACAGGCATCTCTTCAACACTTCTAAAGCTTTGATCTGAAACTGGCTTGAAATTGTATATTGTTTGTTCTTTTCCTTTTTTAAGGAAAAAAAAAAAAAGAAAAAGAGGGGCGGCGCCTGTGGCTGAAAGGAGTAGGCGGAGGTGACTGGTTCAAATCCAGCCCCGGCCAAAAAAAAAAAAAAAACCTGCAAAAAGAAAGAAAAAGAGGTTGGGAGATGGTTAAACACCATACTACCCCAAGAACATTTACAAAGTTTAAAGGGGTCTTCTTCCAGGTACCAGAGAGAAAGACTACAGTGGGAAAATGTGCCAGCTAGTCTGTCCTGAAGAAATTAAGAGTCCAGCTCCTGGCAAAACGTAGATGAGGGCTAACAAAACCACCATGCCCTGCAACTCCATTTCCAACATGAAAAATAGGGGGTTGAAAAATATTCAATCGTAGAAGCCAAGGTTAGCCAGTTAAAATTCGTGCTGCCCAACTCTGGAGTGGAAGGGATGCTGCTGTCTTCAAGTGTCTGAGGCACTAATGTCCATGTATAAGGCAGGGTAAGGAAAAGAGAGTCTTCTTCAGGAAGGTGATGGAGAGCACTACTCACTTCCTTTATAGTCCTTTTTTTGATGACCAAGAAGAAAATTCTGCATTGCTGGGGCAAGAACTGATATCTTGAAATCATAGAGATTGTAGAATCTTGTTCCAGAAATTATGAGGTTTTCTGCTCAATGGGTGAATTCTGACTTTGCAACCTCAAGCTTTTCCAAGGTTGTACTTGTAGTTAGCATTTACAAATTCTCTTCAACTACAGGTGAGAAACTGGGGTCAAGAATAGGCGACCCCTCGCTGATTTCCTCCAAAGGTGGAGTCTGAGGTAAAACATCAGGACGACCAATGTGAATGCCTGGCTCGACTTCTGCCTTTGTTGTCATTTGTGCCTTGTGTTCCCCAGAGACTGATGGCTAATAATTAATGGAGGAGTTGCTGCTTGGTCCTGCTCGCAGAGAGAAAGATGAGCCAGACCTAAACTTTTTGGAAGAAGAGGGTTTCAAGGGAATTTTCTTAAACACTATGTTGCACATGAAGTGCCGGAACCGTTCGGCATAGAAGCTTGGGCGATGCACCGATACAGTGTCACCATCATGTACTAAGGCTTTCCAAGAGTGCTCCAACTTCTTAATAAACCTGTAAGACTGCAGAATGTCAATGATGCCGATATAAAGCAGGAGCCTTTCCCCTTTACTATTCCGGGCAGGAATGCCACCCATATGGTCATCAGTCTCCATGGTGCCACCTCTTCGAGCCTCGCCCTGGATGGATTCCATGGCTGTAGAATAGAGAGCCTTTTGGGCAGTTGGTCGGCGACTGTCAACCAAGTATTGTGTTTCACTGTACAATGCCTCTTGTTGTGCATGATCAATGTTGTGGATTGATACCAAGAGGCTATAGTCCATTATCTTAAAGCTCTGCAGCACCAGACAGTCACGCTGCAGGGTCTTACAAAGGGCATTGTACATGTCAGCATCCAAAAAAAGACCATCAGGGATGTCTTGTAAGAAGTCCAGGTCTTTAAAGGTGGGGAGAGGCTTCTCTCGTTCTTTTTGAGAAGCCCGTCGTTTGTAGGTTGAACCCTTAAGGTCATACTTCATATGCATTTTGACTGAATGTGGTAAGAGATTATTCATTGCCACAATTCGAATGTTCTTGCCACCTGCTTGAACACAGTACAGTCCATAGAATTTGGGCAACAAAGTCCGAGGGTTCTGGTTAAGGTTCATGTAGTATCCCGGAAGCAGCTTCTGCAGAAACTCCGCCTCTTTATGTTGGACTGTTTTAATGATGAATCCGTCATCGCTGGATACATAGAAGAGGGAACCACTAGCTCCAGGGTTGCGCAGTTCAATCAGTGGTTCATTGCAGAGGGAGTACAAGTAATCATCAGGCCGGATGCCAAATAGCTCCCGAAAGTAGCGGAAGGCAACAGGTGCATAGGTCTTGAAACGAAAGTCACTGTAGTGATGAGCAGGAGTTAGGTTGCTCCCTTCACTGGGAAAGAAGATACTCTCCACTACGTAGAAATCTTGCATGAGGACATCCCGCTCAGGTTTAGTACTCAGGCTCCCCACAGTGTGCGTAATACCCAACTGGATGGCACCTTTCAAGGTTGATGAAGTTGTCTTTTTATACATAGTCTCTCCTGAGGAATCAACACTCCGGTGGCCTATTTTCTTGGTGGGCATGCCAGAGGTATAAGACACCTCAGATGCCATGGGTCTTTTCATTCCAGATGCTGAAGGTGAGGCACAAGGAGGGACCCCGGGATCAAAGGATGAAAACCCGGGAGCCGGCGGCCCAGAGGAGGCCGACGCCATCTTGGCGGCCTGGCTCCCATTCAACCCGGCTCTGCCTCTTCTCGGAATCGAATCTTCCCTACGTCTTTTCACAAAGCCCGCGTTCCGAGGGCCACCTACCCCCCGCCCCGCCTTTGGGACCTCCGTCAGACACTTCCAGCCAGCTTCAAGTCCAGCTCAGGGCTGCACCATTTGCCAAGCATGGGGGAAATCGCCCGTCTTGCACCCCCTCTGAAACTTTAACTGCTTTCTGCAGTAGCTACTTTCCCCTTTTACAAACTGCTGCTAGTGTCCCGCGTCCGGCCCAAACCACACCTAAGGGAAAAAAAATGAGGCATGAGAAGTCCAGGAGGACCGACCATCTCTTCCCCCTCCTGTCTAGCTGCAGCCTGATTACCACCCCTTCTTAGGACAATTTTATCATCCCAATCACATTCTTCATTCCCATTTACAGTTAATTCTTATTCCCACTCCTAGCCCCACTGTCTATTGTCTGTCTTTATAGAGCTGCCTTTTTTAGATGTTTTATATAAAGTTTGATTTAAAACATTTCTGATTATAAAATACAGAGAAATATCCTAACTCCTGGAGCTTATTAGAAATGTAGGATCTGGGGGGCAGCGCCTGTGACTCAAAGGAGTAGGGCACTAGCCCCACATGCCAGAGATGGCAGGTTCAAACCTAGCCTCGGCCAAAAACTGCAAAAAAAAAAAAAAAGAAAGACAAAGAAAAGAAATGTGGGATCTGCATTTTAACAAGATCCCTTAGGGATTCTTATACATATTAGACTAATAGAACACTGACAAATTGAACCCACTATATTGATCCTTTGTCTACTTAATAGGCATATATTATGAATATTTTCCCCAAATTATTAAATCTCTTCTGAGAACATTTTAAGTCCCATTGTAAAAATATGCCACGATATTTAACCAGCCTCTTCATGGCAGACATTGGGTTTCCCATCTTTTTAGAGCTGTGGTGATCATCTTTGTATATAAATCTTTGGGCTTAGATAGCTTCATATCCACTGTATCAGTAATTCCGTTTCTGGGAATTTATTCTAAACCAGTCATTATAGATAAGCTGCTAAAATTTAGAAGGTTCATATAAATGCTGATCAATGTAGTTCATCATGTAAAGCACTGTTTTCCTGGAAACCAGACCTAGAGCCAAGGAGATAATGGGAAATACAGACCCCCAACATGCAATTTTAGAGCATCTTGCTAAATCTCACCTCCATATTCTTGAGCATTAGTTCCATTGTTGAATGAAATGAGTGAATAAGTGAATGAATGAATGACTATATGAAAATGTCACCAAAAGGCAAGGTAGAAGTTGTTGTTAGTTACTAAGCAGCAGTGAAATAGAAAGGGGTAGATGCTGGGCCTGCATGCAATAACTTTCTCATCTGTTGTAACTCTATCCTCACTAAACTTCCAGCTTCCACTTGTCAGTTCTGTGCTTGCCAGCAGCCCCCGCTGCTTAAATACTCTGCAACTCATTACTCCTCATAGGTGAGGAGTCATGGTCATGGGAGCGATGGTACCCTCCTCAGACCACACTGACTAGGCTTTCAGTGTCATTTTCCCACTCTCCACAAGGATTATAGTCTCTTAAGTATTTACTGGTCTCCCTGGTTCCTAGATCTTTGGGGAGTCAGGATGATCTGGGCTTATAAATCTACCTCATATTTGCCCCATTATCAGGGCCATTAGGTTGAGGAGGGATTGAGTGTGTTCAAGAGGGTGAGTGAATTTTCCTGTTTCATTTTTACCACTGCCATATTCTCTGAGCTTTCCACTACTATAATATTTCCTGGAAAAAAAAAACCCAGCTCTTTCCCCCCCCCCCGAGGGTAGGTTGTGCAAGAATCTCTGCCTCTGCTTAAGTGCTCATCTCCGAGGGTTCATGTAGAGCATCCCACTCCAGAGGGTCTGAGCACCTCCTGCCACGTCAAGGTGTGGCAACCATTTTGTTTTTCTTGGCAGTGATTCTCACACTGGAGCATGTTTCAGAACTTTGGGAGGCTTGTTAAAGCATAGATTGCTGAGCCCCACCTCATGGCTTCTGGTTCTATAGGTCTGAGTCGGGGCCAGAGAATCTGCATTTCTAACAAGTTCCTACTGTTGCTGTTGTCTTGGAACCCCACTTTGAGAACTACTGCTGTGGCCTGCCCCTCATCCTCCCTGTCCCCCTGCAATCATTTCCAAATAGGTAAAGAAAGGCACTGGGAGACTGGTGTGTTGAAGGCTCTTGCAGCCGGGGATCCTGTCCAGACCTCTAGGTTCAACGCTTAGCTGTGGTGTGAGCTTGCTGAGCGAATGGATGAGGCTTTTGCTAGAACCTTCAGGGTATTTGGAACAGTAGCTAGTTCAAATTACTTGAAATAGTTGGGGTGGGATTACTGGGTCATTTAGGGAACTCTGGGAATAAGAATGGAGCCCCAGGTCCTTAGCACCACATGGGAAATCACCCCCAAAGCTGGCAGGTGTGGGCATCTGGGGCCTCGGCCTGCCATATTTTGGCTGGTACATGGCTGCACTGAACATTGTAACCTCCTATCCCTGGCTCTTTCTATTGACTTCCTCTTCTCCTATTGGAATTTTTCCCCTCTGGTTAGGGAAAGACACCTTCTCCAGGAAGGGCTCCAATGGCCTCAGGTTCTGTCTCTGCCCTTTATACCTGACTTTGTAGCACAGCCCCAGCCAGTTGGTAGAAGCTGTAGACCTTAGTAGAATGTGGTTCCTCCAATTGCTGAAGGCTCAAAAGGCTTAAGGATGATATATGGAGAAGGTTAGAGGAGATAGAGAGAATCTTGATTTAACTTTGCTCAGTGATCTCTTAGTGAATGGGTCTTTCCAGTCTTGGTGCAGGTATACATTGTTTCAGTATAGATCAGGGTGGCAGTTGGTTGATGGTTAGGTATAAATCAGAGGTATGTTAAAATATTCAGGATAGTGAGGGTGCCTATGGAAACCGAGAGGAAGTGGCTTAAAGGGCCAGGCTAGATTTAGATTTAATTCAATTGTTTTTCAGTCCAGGGATGTCACTGCCTAGTAGACACCTTGTCCCTCCATGCACCCTGACCCTTTGTGGGAGTTTGCTCCAGGGAATTGCATCTGTGAGGCAGCATTTTCCACCCATTTTCATTCCTCCCTCAGCATCTTCTTTTGGGCCCTGCTAGGCTACTTGAACAAGAATTTATGGACCCAGGCCATAAAAATTTCCATATCAGATTCCAACAGCTCTGGGTGCTTACGGCTCAGACCTGGAAGTGTGGGCATTCATAAGTATGTGTTATTTTGAGAGTTCTGGCTTTAGGTCATTTTGAAGAAAGTGTCTTCTGAGGTCTGTCTTTTCTGGAAGCTAGACGAAGCAGCTAAGTCGTTTTTGGGGGGAAATGAATTCTTGGCACACTCTATTGTCTTTTGGGCTAGTCACATTCGTGCTAAATACCAGTCAAGTTCCCTGTGGACACCGTGGAATAAGGACAACATCTTACTCTTGCCAGTTTGCAAGGGGTAAATTAGGCTGTGGCACTTTCAAGAAGAATTATTAAATATCAATGGGGGATAATAAATGTGAAGTAGCTTGCAAATCTTCTGATATTTTAGCTGTTTCAGTGAAAACACAGCTGCTAAGATACTTTCCTAGCTGTAATTGAGAAGGTAATTTTCTTTAAAGGCCATTTAAGCCAGATCTTTAGTGTCTTTGCTTATTAAGAAGCATGAATAGGGGCAAGTCTCTGAAAAAGATAAATAGACACAGAGCCTAGCAGCAGGGATGTCTATGATGCAGGATGTTAATGTCCAGGGCCCAAGTACTCCAAATAGAACAAAGACTAATTTGTTGTGTGGTTTATTAATGGACTAGAGCCGATATTGGACTAATATAGCCAATTCTTCCATTTAGAGTTTCCCTAGTAATGAATGAATTAGAGTAAGCAGGCATGTCAGTTTAAGATATAGTGCTAATATTTTGTGAGAAACATTGAACAAGGCATGTTGTATGAATCAATAGTTGAAAATGTGAGGCAAAACATTCCAGAAAAGACTTACAGTCTAAATAAGAGCAGTTAATTGGAAGAAAATCAAGGCTACCCAATATTTAGATTGGTTTAGAAGCCAAGGGAACTTCAGAGAAAAGGAACATTTCTCTAGTTCCGTGATGTTATCAGCTTTTCTGATGTATTTTGGAGCTTTGACAGTGGTGTGGCAGTTTTACCTCAGTGGGGCTAAGGGGAATGGAGGGGGTGTTGGGCATTTATTTCAAAATTTTTTGTAGCATACTCGTGAGGCTCTGTGGAAAGATTTGCTTCGAGTCAGGTTGGGTAGCTTCTGCCTTTGAGTTGAGTAAAATCCCTTACTGTCAGGGCCACAGATGGAATTTCCCCAGACTGTGCCCTGGGGACTGGTAACAACTCCTTTGTGAAAATTCTGTGTGATGTTGCTACTGGACAGAGAGGGCTTGTGGGAGGGGAACTGGGGTACCACTCACTCCCTTCAGAAGCTGTGGATCAACATGCAGATGGTCTTGTAGTAGATCTGGCTGGGTTCCTGTAATTATTTTTTTTCCACTTAAGCCTTTTTGGATTTCTCTATAATTTGATAATTTAGTTTTTAAAACGTAGAGGTGAAGATTCATTTTTCTGTGTATTAAAAGTATTAAATTTAATAAATCCTCCAAATTCATTGGGGCAGGTAGTGTAAACTAGAATTTCCTTAGGTTTCTTTAAAGTTAACCAAGCTAACATTGCTAAAGATTACCAAACATGATATATGCAGAGACTTAGTTTGATTTTGCTCAAACAGTTGATTATAAAAGGTATGATGAAAAACCAAAGCATACACTACAGAATATGAATTCAAGTACTTTTATTTACACCAGAAAATATGTGAAAAAAAAAGGCAACATGAGGGTTAAGCCCACAAAGACAGTAAAAAAAAAAAAAAACTCTACAGGTAGGATGGTGGGGAGATATTTTGTGCTTTGAGGACAACTTGACCTTGGTGATAGGT